GAGTGCCTCCTGCTGCATCAGGATTCTGGCGCAGGGAAGAGCCCTGATGCCATCCCACCTCACATCAACTCCAACAATATGAAACCATACCCTTCATACTGGATGAAACTCTCCCTGTATAAGTCAGATGTTCCAATCAAAGGGGAGCCAGACGGCGGACCCAAATCCATTTGGGAACCTCAGGCACGCGCACCCTCTGAGCCCTACCTGCAGCCTTACCTAAGCAAGCGGGCTTTTTCGTCCAGCTCCCATTGTCGCAAAAAGACTTGTTCGGCCCTTCCATGGCATAATACCATTGGCATTTGAATTCTACAGATGAACCAGACGGATACCACTCCTGAGATGAGCTGATAATGTCTCCATTCTCAAGAGTGGGAGGACGGCTGCAGTTCTTTCCTCCTTCTGGAAAAAAGAGAACGAAGGTGACATCTTTCCTCTAATCACAGGAGCTTTGGTATTCCCCAGAAAATATGTCAGAGGACAAATGGGAAGCTCAAGTGAGTTATAATGGCAGTGGCTCAAAGCTGAACATGGACATCTGGATCTATGATGGTGGTGATGATGATACTCCAGTACAGCTAAAGAAGGCACTGGATTTTTAGCAAATGAGATCCGCATCGATTTCAGTTATTCTACAATAGCATCTGACTGTATGAAGGTATGTGTGTATAATTCTTTACTGCAGACACACTTACTGATTATTAGTATCTAGTATTTTGTACCCATTTCTCTAGCCCAAAATTTGTAATGACGTCCTAATTTCTTATGAAGAGTCATCTAATGCCGGATGTCTGAAAAGTCCTGCTGCTTCCTCTTCTTACATCGTCAAATGAGAAAGCTGAGATGGGGGTAGCCGGGGCACCTGGATTTGAAGCCTGAGCAAGAGGCGCTGTATCAGGACACTGGCAGTGCATTACTGGACAGACTCCAGAATCTGGACCCTCATGATTGACTCCATGTCTTGCTCGAAATATTTGAAATAGGGAAGGAGACACTCAGGTGAAATCCTATGGAAATCACCGTGGTGGTCCATCCATGACCCCGATGTAATTCCTTGAAAATCAGAAGATTCCACAACACTTAACTTCTCTAGCACATTTCTTTGGGCATGGAAAGAACGCCACAGTGAAGTAACATTCAGAAATTAATCCATCCCAAAGATGAAGGTGAGCCAGGTCAGGACAATTCCATGAGATGTGGAACCTCTAGTACGAGAATAAGGGACTCTGGGCAAGTGTTCATGCCACAATAAATCAGGGAATGGTTGCTCTCCTTCCCAGTCTTACCAAATATTTGCCTGCCAGATGATCATGAAGAGCTGGAGTTCAGTATTCCCTTTGCCTGGGCCCATTCTTTTCCCAAATCTCAAATGTTTTGCACCATGAAAACACAGCATGTTAGAACACCAGGGTTTTCTTGACTGTTCTTTCCCACCACCTTTGTAACCTGGTGAAACAAACCATGGCTCTGGGTTCACACATTCTGACAAGAGAATGAAATGGTTTCTCTTCCTGGGCTGTTTGTACTTACCTCAAGGGCACCTCTTCAGGTTCACAACCAAGGTTCCCTTCCATGGTTTGCAAAGTTTAAACCATCTTGTTTGCTCTGTGAGCAAAGAAGAAGAGAACCTTGGAAGCATTTGCAATCCAACGGGAATGAGGATGGATTACGGGTCCTTTGAACATTCGGAGAAACCTGGAAGGTGTTTTATCACTAATAGCATGCTCACCAGAGATACACCATGGCAAATCCATGTGCCCATCAACGCACTTCCTGATGGAAGGAGGAGTGAGCACATAGCCGTCCCGGCACAGGAATTCCAACGTCTGGCCATTTTGAAGGAACCGTGATCGACTGCGGCCACCAGACAAAAGCAGGTGCTTTCCATCCAGCTCTTGTCTTCTGATGCTGCAAGGTGCTAAAAGGGAAGAGGAAGGCAAAGAGCATCCACGGACTGTCAAATTTCCTTGTTTAGAAGAACGCTTCATTCACTCTGGAGCTGAAGGACAGTACATTACTCAACACACCAGCAAACAAAAGCTCCCATGGATGAAGTGCGCTGCTCATTTTGCGGTTTCTAGCCTTTCTACATGGATGAGAGGGCCTCAGGTAAGCCAAATGCTACACCCCAAAAAACTTTGCTCTTGGTAAACTTTCCCTCTGCAAGTTTCAATCACCATACGCAAGCACAGGTAATTCAACATTCAATCCTTTGTGAGGGTGCACAAATCCAACACTGCAAAGCTTGGACAGGTGGTGAAAGTTTTCCCAGAATGGATTTTAAAGTCTCCATCGTAAAATCTATCTAAGAATCATTGCTTTAAGAAGAGACCAAGGTGATTTGCGTCAGTTCATCTTTGGTCTCTTTCTTTGGGACCTATTTGAGGGGAGGATGGGAAATACAGCGTACTAGTATTCCTATGGACATTCTGGGAAACTTTGGCATTTCAAGCATGAGTTGATTTATTGGGAAAAATATATCAGAAGATGAAAAGAAAAGCATGCAGCTGAAAGTTTACAATGCTTTAGCCTAGGCACTTTCTGACAATGTCCTAGAAGAAATGGAAGATACCCCTCCACATGTGCAGAATGAGCTAGGGCACCTCCACTTTCCTGTAGTTAGAAAGCAAGAATTCTTGAAGCTTCAGGAAGACTTGAAATGAAAACACCTATTGAGAAGGAGTTCAGAGGTTTGTCAATATGCTTAATGTGATATCAGATTCGAATCAGATCTGCACACAAGACAAAGCCATGTTGCATGCAGACATCGCCTGAGGGGCACTGCCCATTCCGATCCGCAGCTTAGAGCCTTCAGGTTGAGAAACATGCAGCGTCGTACCTAAACACTTGGGTGGAGGGGACCATTTCCCTCCTTGGCATGTGATCCATTCAGACCCTTCCAAGGTGTATCCAGGATTGCAGCTGTACTGTACTCTGTCACTTGCCAGATATGTGGCTTTCACATCACTCACAAGGGTCCCAAACTCAATATCAGGGGGTTCTTCACACACTGCAATTATATCGAACAACAGAATCATCTCCACCCAACACTTCAGAGAAGCACTGCAAACATCTACGGGTACAATCCTGAACATAAATGTTGTCTGGGTGAGGTTCCCAACAGGATAGGTGTTGAAATCTCCTGCTTCTGCTAAACGCATATCCACAGATGTGTCCCTGTGCCCTGCAGAAGGGTCACACTGGGAATGTTTCCCTGTAGAAGCCATCCTGTGCTGGAGCATTCAGATCCCCTGAAAGCATTCCTGAGGAAATTCCTCCACACACTGATTCCCACCACAAGGGATGTAGTCTTGGGGAGGACTGCATGGCACAGCGGAGGAGCCTGGGATTGAGACCGTCGGCACATCCCACCCAGTCCTGTTGGCACTGGCGGGCACTTGCTCTACATGCTTCCATGCAGAAAGGGGTGGTTCTGCCATATATGGGGAACCTGGCTGGCATCCTTGGCATACCAAGCATGCACTGAGATGGCACCCTCGCCTAACTAAGCACGAATCCTAAGGCCTCCTCATTTACAGAAAGGTCCACCAGCTTGGCAGACATCTACCTCAGCATAGGAACAAGTCTCCACTCCTTGTCTTAACCTTGGGAGAACCTGCAGAGAAATGGTTGGAGTGTTGGACGGGGGCTTTGATGGCCACACTTCCACTTCCCAAACAACCATGAAGCTGACTAGGTGACTTGGGTCAAGGCATTGACTTCGAACCTCACTGAAATCATAGGGCTGCTGTGAGGAGAAAACGGGGAGTGTTGGGATGATGTACACCATATCAGATTCCTTGGAAGAAGAATAATGTTGGTTGCACATTGAAGACACACTTCGTTTCCAGAGGTAGGAGAAAGCATGTAGTATGAAAATTACTGTGCTAATTTTAACCATGGCTATGCACTATTATATTTTACCCAACACTTTAAATGGTGGAGCTTTGCGAATACACATTGAGTTTCAGAAGCTGCGTGTATCTCAAGGTAGACTTAATTTGTTTCACACTGGAATAGAAGTATAAACATAAATTACAAACTCTGTGAAAGAATTCTGAACTGCTGTTCAAACAAAATGGAAATGCTATCTATTGAGTTCGTTCTTCAAGGATGCTGCCTATTAGAAAGGACGATGGCCCACAGCCCTCTCACTGCCCAGCCAGCCATGCATGGGATCACATCCTCAAGGATTCTCATCATCGGATGCATTTGCATGGAAACTTCTCCAGTCCATCAGGTAAGTCAAGCAAAGACACATATGTCTTTCTGTATTTGTGAAGGTGGCAGAGGAACAAGATGATATATTAGTACTCTCACATCACCGAAGTGACCTGAGTGGATTCCAGCTGCAAGATAATCCTGAAGGAACCCTGCTTGTCCAAACTGGCAGAAAACACAACTCTCCCCACCCCCTTGTTTTTGTTTTTTTGTTTCTTTGACAGAAAAAAAAACATAAATACAAACCTTCACAACAATTTTGCTTTTACAAAATCTTCCCACATTTCATTATATTTACTTGCTTTCATTAACCCTTTTTTAATTTTTATTTCTCAGTGTATGCTTAATTACCATATTCCATATTTGATTACACCATTCATGCCTTTGCAGAACCCAATTCTGTTTTCAATATGGTAGCCTAGCCTTCACTAGCTTCACTGCCATTATCATACTTACAATCAATTCTTTCTTAGCTTTATTTAGATCGTGTTTTTCTATCAACGGCGATAACAGCATTCTCGGTAACATTTCTAAATCTATATCTAAAATTTCTCTAATTTCCTTAAATACCATAATCCAAATCTTTTGTATATTTTCACAATCCCTACACATATGTTTATAAGTTCTGATTTCTTTATCTCATCTGCAACATATATTAGAATATTTATCACCAATTTGACTTGACTTAACTGGTGTTAAATACCATCTCCATATCACTTTGTATCCATGCTTTTTAATTCTAACCGACATATTCTTATATACTCTTCTATTCACAATTTTCTTCCAATGCTTATCTTTTATTTCACCTACGTCCATTTCCCAAATTGATTTTGAACTTTTTGTCTGATCCCCTAACTCCATTAATTACTGTAGATTTTGGCAATTCTTCCTTTACTTGTATATTCTTCCTCAGTCTCACATTCTTTTATACTCATTTCAAATTTTGTTAATTGTCTTTCTTCCTCTTTAAATTTGTCCTACATCTTTATCCATTTTTAATTGAATTAAATTTAACCAATTTAATTTAAACACATCTCTATTAAGAAAATTATAGCACCAAATGAATTTGTATCTCTACACTCCTGCTGAAAATTCCACCTGAAAACTGCAGGGACCATTTTCCCAGGCAACATTTTCCACTTTCCCTTCCAACTTACTCCTTTGAGAAGCACAGCATGCCCACAGGAGAAGGGGGCCAATGCAGACCAGCCAGCTCTTCATAGCGCGTCAACCAGTTTGCAGTTCTTCTGCACCAAAAATCTGTGTTCAGCTCCCCAAACACTGCAAAAGACTTTATTCTCTGGGCTTTCCTGTAAACAATGTCATGATTTATTTGCTGACTCTTCAGTCAGTAAGGCAACCAAATAAAATGAAACATTACTGGAATGAGGCACATGATCTTTGAAACTCCGCCAAGAATATTTGCCATCTCTTTCTAACTTCCCTCTTCAAATCCTGCAAAGCTCAACTCAGTGACTCGGTGGCCGAGAAGAAGCAAGATCTGCCATGCTCCTGGGGAGGCCAATGTCTGAACCAGCTCCTTTAGTTGTCCCTTCACAGCTCAGTGAAGGACTTTCCTCCATTTGTCTTTTATCCCGCCAGCTTCT